AATCTTATCTGGATAATATATACTTTACCAATAAAGAAGCACAGATAAAAAAACAAAAAGAACAAAAAGAAAGAGATATTAAAAAAAACTATGGTCCCCTATAAAAGTTTTTATTCATGAGTCATTTTGTCAATACATAAACACACAAAAATGTGGTAAATGATTATAGGTACTTGATATTGAAACATTGTTCCTAGTCATTATATGTCTTTCAACTGTGCATGCATTTACATATTGTTACTCTCTTTATTTCTATGTATATGTTACTATTTTAGATTATTTGCTAACGTAACGACCCTAATTCCCTTTTGAAATTTTTTTCTACTACTTGAAAACAATGAGAATTCTCATTCTACGGGTTGTAGGGACTTCTACAAGCCGTATATTGGACCCGTAGAATGGACTTTTAAGCCTGAAATTTAGTATTAAGTCTACTGATTGGTCTGCAGTTCGTAGAAACTTCTACGTGTCGTAGATTTGACCCGTATAATGAAATTTTGAGCCTTAAAATTTAATATAAATCCTACGGATCATGAGATCTACGGTCCGTAGATCAAATCACGAACCGTAGATAGTCCCATGGATAGTTTTCGTCAGCTTATAAAGAGGGATAGTTTAGTCTTTTCCCACCCCTTCTAAGCCTAAACTCTAACCTTTTTACACCTAGTTAAGGCTTTAGATAGTGTTAATCAGTTCTTTTACGTTCATTAACACTTTAGTCATTAGAGCAAGGCTCCAAGAGGAGAAAAAACTAGGTTTTCAAGCGCTATTCGAGATTTCACCGATTTTGCCAAGAACTTTGTTCATCCAGGTATGGAAGGCTAATCATAGTGATGAATTGAGTTTGTCCTTACTCCCTACATCTACTTTCTATCAGTAAGAGTTAATCTAGGGTTACATCATTTTTGATAATTCTTGAGATGAGTTGTTGAATTTTGAGTTTCTATTATCAAATTTTGAGTTGCTATATACTATGCATTGAGATTCTTGAGTTGATTGTTCATGACTATCATTCATCATGAACCCTAGTATTTGAGTCTTCAAGGAGTTATTATTGAGAATCATTTTTAAAAAAAATTGTCTTAAACTGATTTTCTGAGAAAGTAAAAAAGTGTTTTGAGTAGAGTATAAAGAGATATTTTAGTACAATTTTAAGGGAACTAATTGATTCCCAAATGTATTACTTTTACTTTTACAAAGAGAAGTTTGTTTTTCATAAAGAGTTTTCAGAGATATGTAAGAAAAGTTACCTCTTTTAAGAGGATAATTTGAGCAATTAGCTCAATTTAAGAAAGAGTATGTTTTATACATTTGAGCATGGGTATGTATATTTGTTGGGAGTAGTATTGAGTATCGATATGTAGATAAGTTCAGAAAACTCAAAATCCTCATAAACCATGTAGCCAACATGGGTAAAGGATCGTACTTTTTAGACGACTCCTTATTTCTTTAGAGCAGTGCTTTAGTGGATCCACTTAGTTGAGGTGTCCTATATCCCAACAAAATATAGGACAATTCTGACAGCGTGGGCGAGACGTTGTATCATCACGTAGCTCATAGTGATGGTTATCAATTAGAGAATCTCCCAAATAAGAGTAAATAGTATTTTATTGTATTTTTCATATACATCCTTGAGTTAAAATATTTTATCTATGAAGCTTTAAATATTGTCATCTCTTGTTATTGTTTTGTATTGAGTTGAGTTCAGGTAAGTATTCTTTCAGCCTTATCAGTTCAGTTATTTATCCATTCAACTATATTATATACACGTACATTCAATGTATTGATGTCATTCGACCTGCATCTTTTATGATGCAGATATAGGTGTTCAGGATCATCAACATGCATTTCGTTGAGCTCACTTTCTACTTTAGATAGCTTGAGTGAGTCTCCTTGCATTACGGAGGACTTCACTTGTCCCGACATCCATCTTGAATAATAGAGGCTTCATAGATAGATAGAGTTGAGGAGTCTCCCAAGATTTACTTTTCCTTGATATGTTTTGCAAACTATTATACATATATTATTAAGTATTTACCAGAAAATTTGAGTTGAGTAATTACTTTGAGTTTAAATGTTCTAAATGTTGTTTTTAAGCCTATTGTCGCTTGAGTAAGTCTTCCGCTAAGTAGTCAGCCAGGCCAATGGTTCGCTTGGGGACCAGCAATGGTTCTCGAGTGCCGGCCTAGGTTGTAGGATCAGGGTATATTGTGGACTTGAATTGCTTGAATTGTTGTCTCTTTCTTATAGTGTGAAATTGCTTATTTGCATTGATTATTGTGCACCGTGATGAGACATGTGAAATTATGCCAAAGAAAAATGGTTCCAACAAGTGATATGATATTATACCGAAGGGAAATGGATCCAACAAGTGATGTGATATAAAGTCAAAGGGAAATGATTCTTGCTAAGGATATGATAAAAAGTCGAAGGAAAATGGTTCCATCTCATGATGTGATATAAAGCTGAAGGAAAAAGGTTTTGCCTAGCGATATTGTGCCGAAGGAAAATGGTTTCAGCAAACGATACTATATAGAGCCGATGAGAAATAGTTCCAGCTAGTGACATTGTACCGAAGAAAAATGGTTCCGACAAGTGTTTGATTATTGTGATTTGATGAACTTGATACTTGACATTGATATATTTGATGCTTGTGATTGATCAACTTGATACATGTGATTGATACATTCGATATTTGTGATTGATATCATTGACACTTGTTGGTTGGCGAAATATGACCGTTGGACTATGATTGTTAAGCCTTGTGAACTGTGTATTATGAAACTGTTAGGTTGAGCTGATATTTATGTAGGTTTTAATTTGAGGAGGTTCAGGTTGGATGAAAGAAGTACTCATATTCTAGCTAGTTTTTCCTTGTTCATTAGGTTACTTACTGAGAACCGTGTTTGTTGGTACTCACTCCTTGCTTCTACACTTGTGTAGAAATTTCGAGCCCGGTTCTGTGTGATTTCTCTTCGTCTATGTCCAAGGTTTTTAGAAGACTTTTAGAGGTAGCTGCTTGTCATTCTAACGGGGCGTCTTGTTCCTTATTTTATGCTTGTTCTATTTGAGAAACAAAGACACAGAGACATGTAATTATCTTTCAATTCCGCACTTTATACATTAGTGTCTTGTACACGTGACAATTAAGTTTTGAGTTTATATTAGACTGAATAAGTTTTCCGCTCTTATGTTATTCTTGTTTTACATTCCGCATTTCTTTTGTGCTATTGGATTTTGAGACCGACTTGTTTTGGAGGAAATAGACAAGTATCATCACGTCCACTTTTAGGTCGTGACAACGTACTCTTTATGTTATATTTTTTGCTCATCGAGATTCAATTGTATTATTTTATTCGCTCCAAAATAAATGCTATTTAAATAAAAATCACGTTTATTAAAATAATAATAAATACAATGTGTAGTTTACTACTTTCGGCCTCTAGCCTTTTTTTCAATATTCAAAAGTATTATATAATGCAATTCATGTCATGTCAATATAATGAAAAGTTATTCTTTAAAATGTAAATTAAAACATAATCTGAATCTTGAATAGTTAAAATATCACTACAGAAAGCGTACGCGATATCTTACATGACTACATAAGTAAATATATATATATATATATATATAAATATATATATATATATATATATATATATATATATATAAAATATTTTATCTACAGAAGAATTGTCATAAGAAATATTTAAAAGGAATTAAGTAAGGAGAGTACATTTAATTAAGCCAAACTTATTTATTCCATTACATAAATATAAGAATACATGAAGACATTATAATCAACATGAACCCTAATTATTTTTGACATGTGGCTGCTTACTTCAATAATCCATTAATTAACCAACCACAGGAATTTGTACAACAGAACCCAAGATGTTATCAACAAGACGAACTCGATTACAACGATAATCCAATGGGACTGGAGAACCACTCAATATTATTCGAACATCATTTATGAGTGAATTTTCCTTCTCAATTATTTCCTTAGCAAGCTTTGTTGGTACACCAATAAGTTCTGGCCAGAATAGTTTTCCTACATATACACATAATTAATTAATTACAATGAGAGAAACAAAGAACAAGAATAATATACTCTATATGTGTTATAATAATAGCAAACATGGAGTTGATATTCAAGTGTGTAACCAAGCAGACTGCTTGCTCTACCATATTAAAATGTGTAATCATTTTATCTAAAGGTTTAAAGTGTTAGATAGAGCACCAAGACTCTATTAAAAAAACAAGCAATTTTAATAGTAGCAAAAACTGTTATTTTTGAAAAGCTAAAAAAAAGGTAATCCTTTAAAGGAATTTTACCTTTGCACCAAGATTCTGATTCTGATTCCTTTAGAAGTTTTATGACTTCTGGCCCATCACTTTCTTTTCGTGCCATGAGAGTTTCAAAGGCTGCAAAAAAAAAAACATTTCAATTGCAATTAATGAGAATATATACATTCAACTAAATGTTATTCTTTATATTTTAACATGGTATAATTATAGTGAACCCCTTAGTAATATTTTAGCTCACATTAATCTATTTTTTTATGAATGATTGTTTATAGTTGTCTTTTAAGTTTCACGCTAATAGTGTAACAATTCTTCTACGTTATTATTTATAGTGTATTTCTCATTTCAAGTTAGATCGTCAAAAAAATATGATATGCTTAAAAACCTCTGGCACAAGCAAGGGTAGAAGGAGATTCATCTGAATAGTGGCGGAGCTAATATTTTCTCTAATAGAGTCTCTCTCTCTATATATATACCGCAAAAGAAATATAAATAATTTACAACTCTAATAATATTCTTGCATGTGTGTATATATAATAAAATATATACAGAGAAAGTGAGGTACTAACAAGTTGCAAGAAGAAAGAAAACAATGATGTGAGCAAACTTTGACTCCATTTTCTTTTAGTTGTAAAGAGTAGAAGGAATTGAGTGAATTTGTAAAAGTGCATCCCACAAATTTATAGGCAGAGGTTGCCTTCATTGTAGTGAGGTACTACGTACTAGTGGTGTCTAACAACCACATGTTGAACAATTTGAAGATAAGGAAAAAAAATATTATGTTTTGATATATTTTTAATTACATTCGAAAAGTGAGGAGGGACTGTGAAAATTGAATTCAGGTATAGTGTGTAGGGGACACATCACACACACTGATACCACTATATATATATATATATATATATAGGTTTTTTTTTAATTTTATTTTATAGGAGATTGTTACAAAATAATATAGAAGATCTATAAATATATAAATACATGTTGGACTTGTAAGCTCACTTTTTAAAGAAAATTAAAATTGTAAGTGGATTTAGGAGATCATTTTCCTCCATAGAAATTGAAAATATAAAGATTGTTTTAATTATTTTGTTTTAAAAGGGGAATAATTTTATGAACTTTTGGATTTAAATGAAGGATTATCCATTTAAAGTAGTTCGAAATTTTAAAAGAGATACTTCTTTTATTAAAATATTAATAAAATTGCCTCAAAATATAGGGGGAAACAAAAGAAACTTAATTAATTTATTGGTAATTTGACTTATTTATTTTATCACAAGGCTAGCTAGACTTTGTATTCTTCTCAATTGCGTATCATTATTTTTGTTTACGTTTTTTAGTTTCTTATTCATATTTTGATTAATTTATAAGAAAACTTTATATACTTCTTTGGAGTTCAATCATATATATAAAATTATATCCAAGGCTCAAACTCAAAATTTTTGTCAATATTTCTAAAATTTTATATACTTCTTTCTAAATACATTTGGCATATATACACTGCATTAGCCAAGAAAGAAAAGAATAATGACAAGGAAAATAAGTGATGTTATATTTTCAAAATATTTAACTGAAAAAATTAAAAGGTATTTTTTATCTAGTAAATAGTGGGGAAATTTCAGAAAATGACATGGCACGTTTTATCTATGCTTTCAAAGTCCTTCTCAATGTATTAATTAGATATAGTGACAAGGAAAAAACAATATAAAACGAAATTTAAAAAGATTTACTAGCAAAAATAGAGATGCTATGGTCCCTAGGTATTATATGTTTTTATTCATGAATCATTTTGTAAGTCATAGAAACAGATTTAGGAGTTAAATGTTATAATTCTAAATTTTACGATAACGAATTCAAATAATATTACATGAGTTTCAAATTTTAATTTTAACATATATATTTAATGAATTTTGAAACAAATATAAAATTTATGATAAATCTATTGAATTTTATTTTGGGTAAAAATATAAATAAAATCAGGTAAATTACTGAAACGAAACCACGTGTCCATCTGTTAGTTTTAAGGGTATACACGACTCAAAAAATTAACAATAAGAGTATATACAAACCTTAAAGTATAAGGGAGGATTTTCACATATTATTTATTATAGTTCGAAGATATATTTATCATTTTTCATTAAAAATATAATAAACAAAATCATTCTTATTCTTTTTACATCACTAATAGTTCTCATAGTTTATCAAGTTGGTGCTTGAAAAAAAAAAGGAGAAAAAGAAAGGGATATTTTTTTATAAAAAATAAAAACTATGGTCCCCTATAAAATGTTTCTATTCATTAGTCATTTTATGAGTATATAGACCATACAAAAATGTGGTGTATAATTATAGATACTTGATATTGATATATTGTTTCTAATTATTATTATACCTTTCAACCATGCACGCATTTATACGCACTCTTTATGTTTACAATTTTCACTCATCGATATTCAATTATACTATTTTCTTTGCTCCAAAATAAGTGTTATTTAAGTAAAAATCATGTTTATTAAATAATTAATAAATATAATGTATAGTTTATTACTTCCTTTAGCCTTTTTTTTTAAAAAAATAAAAAAGTATTATATAATGCAATTCTTTTCATGTCAATATGATAAATGAATATTTTTTAAAATGTAAGTTACAATCGCATAATTTGAATCTCAAATAGCTAAATATCACTTGAGACGCGGTGCGTATTTGACACCAAAAAGTAAAATTGCTATGGTCCCCTAATGACATGTTCTTATTTATGAGTTATTCTGTCAGTATATAAAACACATAAGAAAAAAGGTGTTATAATTGTTAGTATTTTTTTATATTAATATATTGCTCTTAATTATTCTGCCTTTCAATTTATTAAGTTGCGTGTGAATCCAATATATCATGCATTTATTCTTTAGATATCTCTGGTATTTTATTATGTAATTGACAAAAATTTTATAAGAAATTAATAAGAGGAATTTTTTATTTTTTTTAAAAAAAGAAGAATAAGAGGAATTTGGGTAAAAAAAAAAAGTTTGTGTATACACGGACTAGAATAGAGCAACCCTCAAAACTTAAGATCACCATTTGATTGAAAAAAAATTTAGTATTCAGATTTTATGAATTATATTCCAGATTTTTTGGTATCGATTGAAAGTGAATCTTTGTAAACTTTGTAAGGAAATGAAAAGAGGATCAAATATATCTGTATTTGATATAGAGTAATTTTATCTTTCATTTGAAAAGTTTTCGACTCATAACTCTATTGTTAGTCAAATGGTTCAAAAATGCAATTATTGGCTAATGACCCTAATTTCCTATATGAGATTTTATTCTCCTTTTTAAAAATAAAATAAAATAGCAAAATCAACTAGTATTATTTAATTTCTCTATTTATTTTTATTTGTTCATCCATATTCGTTGATACATTGGAATAATTTTTGAATGATAAATACATCGATGACATTAATTTTCTCAATATTGCATTCATTGATACGTGTTTGATAATTTGTAGGTAAGGGACAAATTGGTCTTTTCCTTTAAAGCAACTAATTAGTACATTTTTTTTTTTAATTTACACACAGGATGTGAAGGGGCAGTGAAAATTAAATTCAAACGTAATATGCAGGATACATCCACAGTCCAATGATACTACTATTTTGTAAATTATGAATTTGACAAGAATAAAATGTGAGATTTAATTTTATAATCGTTTACAAATATTTTCTAAGTATATGATTTTTTTAATGGGAGACTACTGAAAAATAACATAGAAGATCTTGATTATTCTTAATGAAAAAAATATCTTTCTTTACCAAAAAATAAAGGCTTAGGAAATCATTTTCCTCCTTAGAAATTGGAAATATAAAGGTTGGGACTTGGGAGCATCATGCTGAGTTTTAGTTATTATTTTTTTAAATGGGGAATAATTTTGTTTAAATAAACTTTTGGATTTAAATAAAGTAAAATGATCCACTTAAAGTAGTTCGAAATTCTAAAAGAGAAACTTCTTTCATTTTGTTTTAAAAAAAATCAACAAGATTTTGTATTCTTCTCAATTGTGTATCATTATTTTTGTTTACTTTTTTTTAAAAGTTTTTTATTTGATATTTGCTATTTGCTTAGGAGTTCAATTAATAAAAATTTATACTGAGAAGTTTTTTATATATATCCAATGCTCAAATTCAAAACTTCTAATTAAAGATGAATACATATTGGTCCCTCACCCTTCTTAATTTGTTCCAAAGAAAGCATAACATATTGTCACATTTTATTTTTATTTTTTGGGGTGTGGTGGGGAGGGAGTTGGGGGGGGGGGGGGGGGGGGGCTAGTTTCACAATTACAATTCAAATTCTAACTACCACACATTAATTAAACTAGATACATGACCCCGTGCCAGTACGGGCCCAATATATGTTATTTTTTTATGTGAAAATTTCATATATGACATATATTAGACTAATATTTTCAAGTTATAGCAGTAGAATTAAACTTTCAAGTTGTAACAATAAAATATTTCAGGTTGTAACAGTTTCTTAAAAAATAGCTTTTTTTAAATAATTGTAAAATAAAAAAATTGAAAAAAATAAAAAGATAAAAAAATAAAATAATTCGTTTCTGAAAAAAAAAGGTAAAAAAACGGAAATAAATGTGTTAATTAAATTTGAATTGATTGAAGATAATTACTAATAAGCATAAATTAAGGAAATTCAAACTAATTAAGAATATTTAGTTTCCTTATTTCACTCTAATTTGTTAAAATTAATTAAAAATTCTGATTTCATCCATTTTCTTTCACGTTTCTCTCTCTTCGATTTTTTTCTATAAATCTTGTCACTCTCATCTAATTCATATTCGCTTTTATTCAATAATCTTTATTTTCTGAACGGCATCTTATTAGTATTAATAAAACATAGTGGTAGATGGGATCCTTCAGGTTAGTGTTCTTTGCGATTTTTTATTTGTATTGTAATACAAATCAAACGTTCAAAAAAATTATGAACAGTGATTCTGAAAAAAAATAATTCAGATTTTGTTTGTGAATGATAGTTTTAATTATGGCATTTTTGGTATGAATATTCACTTTTGAAATTACATAAAATTTGTTTGAAATTGGTATAGATTTTTGTTTGAACATTCATTTTTTGTATGTTTCTGGTTAAAAAATTACATAAAATTTATTTGAATTTGGTATATTGGTTATACCATGTTGGTACGATTTTAGAATTATATTTGAATGAATTTCGTATACTATTTGTCTAATAAATGACAATTAATAGTTAAAAGTGGTATTATTTTGGTATTATAGTGGCATGATTCTGCTGTGAAAAAGTGACGACTTATGTAATGAAATAGGTATAGTTTTGGCATGAAATAGGTATGAAAAATGTGCATAATAATTATCTGAAATTTGTATACTGATTTTAGATTTTTTGTTGTGTATAATAATTTGAATTATGGTGTTTTTTTAAAAATGTATAATGTTATATTTTGGTATGAACATTGAATTTGTTCATTATTTGTCTGACGCATTTTTTTTTTTGGTATATTTTTGGTTAAAAAAATAGATAATTTTTCTTTGGAATTTGTATACTTATACTACCAAGCATGTATGACAATCGATAATGTTTTCGTACAATTTTTGGTTTGATTGGATTTTTTTTTGGCATTATATTGTAATGAATATTGAGAATAATAATGTAATGAATTTGGTATACTGTTTATTAAAGAAATGAAAATTAATATTTCTAAGTTGGAATTATTTTGGTATTCTAGTGGCATG